GAATCATGTTTCCCTCTTTAACACATATATACGATCAGAATGAATATATGATACAAGTAAAAATGTGTGTAGTTATCGCTGATGAATCATGTTTCCCTCTTTAACACATATATACGATCAGAATGAATATATGATACAAGTAAAAATGTGTGTAGTTATCGCTGATGAATCATGTTTTCCTCTTTAACACACATATATATTTTTTGTTCCTTTTTCCACAAGAAAAAAATTGGATTTACCACCGGATTATCTTTAATTAATGTGCACAATATCACAAATGGTCCTTTTTGCGTGTTGTAATATTTCTCTTCAACAATGCATAACTTTTATTCTGTTTCTATAAAACAGGAATTAGGCTTACCGTGTGATTCTGTTTAGTAAATGTGCACAATATCACAAATGGTCCTTTTTGCGTGTTGTAATGTTTCTCTTCAACAATGCATAACTTTTATTCTGTTTCTATAAAACAGGAATTAGGCTTACCGTGTGATTCTGTTTAGTAAATGCGCACAATATCACAAATGATCCTTGATGCGTGTTTTAGTTTTTTAGCGTTTTATCAAAAATTATAAAACCAGTTTCTGGTCTTGAAATGATTAACAATTATAATATTTGATACTTTCAACTTGAAAGGCATCTTATATATACATATGACACATAGAGATAAACAGTCACATAACAGACTAAAGGTTTAGGCATAGCCATCTCTAAGTTAGAAATGTTTATCAGAAAGGGGGGTGAGGCGGGCACCCAATTAGAAGCATTCAAGAATGGTCTTAAAATAATTAGCGATCAAGATATAAAATTTCCTATAATGACGTGGCCCGGCATGGCCAGGAGGTTAGGGCGTTCGACTCCAAATCTGAGGGTCGCGGGTTCGAATCCCCGTCACACCAAACTTGCTCGCCCTTTCAGCCGTGGGGGCGTTATAAATGTGACGGTCAATCCCACTATTCGTTGGTAAAAAGAGTAGCCCAAGAGTTCGCGGTGGGTGGTGATGACTAGCTGCCTTCCCTCTAGTCTTACACTGCTAAATTAGGGACGGCTAGCGCAGTTAGCCCTCGTGTAGCTTTGCTCGAAATTCAAACCAACCCAAACTATAATGACGTAAGTATAACAGTAACAAGTATAAACCCTGCTACATAATAATTTTGGAAAACGGGTGTTATTATTTTGGAGACGTCTGAAACACGTTAATGTTCCAATACAACATACGTGTTTCGTGTTTTCGATACATGTTATTAATGCGCGAATACTTTTCACGTAGACTAAATAAATACCTTACCACTATTTTACTGCCGCAAATGTTGTGAATGATTTGAATTTTGTAACTCTCCTGAGAACTGCTCCTATTACCGTAAACAGCGCAACGTCCGTCAAAAGCGTTTTCGGCTACAATCTTCCCGCCAAAATTTGGACCTGTGTTTACGATCACCTCCGATATGTTAGGCAAACATCGGCTAGCCCTGGCAGAAACTACGAAAAGTAAAAAATATATTACAAGGCACACTACAAAATATTTATGTATATTCAATTTAGAACGTCTAGCTTATACTTAAAAGAAGGATTACAGATTAAAGCTGTACTTTAACTACTCGTTACATTTTATGACAATTATTGTATCAATACTTTAACTACTCGTTACATTTTATGACAATTATTGCATCAATACTTTAACTACTCGTTACATTTTATGACAATTATTGGATCAATACTTTAACTACTCGTTACATTTTATGACAATTATTGTATCAATACTTTAACTACTCGTTACATTTTATGACAAAATAAACAAAAGCGTAACCTACGAAACTGTTCACTTTAGGTGTGTGTGTGTGTTTTTGTGTTATGAATTCTGTTGGGGAATTAATAAGTATTCTACTATCAACTTTAATAACATCCTGTAATATGTAATCTATATATGAAGGTTAATAACATCTGTTGATGAGTATTCTATGCATCAAATTTAATAACATCTGTTAATAAGGATTCTATGTATCAAGTTTAATAACATCTGTTAATAAGGATTCTATGTATCAAGTTAAATAACATCTGTTAATATGTATTCTATGTATCAAATTTAATATCATCTGTTAATATGTATTCTATGTATCAAGTTTAATAACATCTGTTAATAAGGATTCTATGTATGAAGGTTAATAACATCTGTTGATGAGTATTCTATGCATCAAATTTAATAACATCTGTTAATATGTATTCTATGTATCAAGTTTAATAACATCTGTTAATATGTATTCTATGTATCAAGTTTAATAACATCTGTTAATAAGGATTCCATGTATCAAGTTAAATAACATCTGTTAATATCTATTCTATGTATCAAATTTAATAACATCTGTTAATATGTATTCTATGTATCAAGTTTAATAACATCTGTTAATAAGGATTCTATGTATCAAGTTTAATAACATCTGTTAATAAGGATTCTATGTATCAAGTTTAATAACATCTGTTAATATGTATTCTATGTATCAAGTTTAATAACATCTGTTAATAAGGATTCTATGTATCAAGTTTAATAACATCTGTTAATATGTATTCTATGTATCAAGTTTAATAACATCTGTTAATAAGGATTCTATGTATCAAGTTTAATAACATCTGTTAATAAGGATTCCATGTATCAAATTTAATAACATCCATTAATATGTATTCTATGTATCAAGTTTAATAACATCTGTTAATAAGGATTCTATGTATCAAGTTTAATAACATCTGTTAATAAGGATTCTATGTATCAAATTTAATAACATCTGTTAATATGTATTGTATGTATCAAGTTTAATAACATCTGTTAATAAGGATTCTACGTATGAAGGTTAATAACATCTGTTAATAAGGATTCTATGTCTGAAGGTTAATAACCTCTGTTAAAATGTTATGAAGTTCATAGCTATACGAACATTATTCGTTATTTCTCGTTTATAGCAAGTAACCATGATGATCAATAGTTTTCTATACTTTTTGATCAACCGATCTATAAATTCCATGCAGTTGTCCCCCATCTTGAATCTATAACCAGATCAACATTATGAGCGTAGTCCTTCACAGCATTGATGAAAGACCTCCATCCAGGAGGTGACTGGTCTCCCAAGTTTTATTCTATCCTCAATATCACAACTCTCCAATCCCCCCCCCCCTCAGGAAAATATTCAAATCTTAGGTAACACAAGAAAAGCAACCCCGTTTAACTTTTAAAAAAAAGTGCATGAAAACAAATTCTGAGGTAACGGCACTAAAATTTAACTGTGGTATTCTCAGGTCCACTGTACCAAAATTTAACCTTAATACCTTACACTGTGGTATTCTCAGGCACACTGCACCAAAATGTAACCTTAATACTTTACATTGTGGTGTTCTTAGGTCC